TTTTTTATGAAAAAAATGTATCAACATTATTTTAATAACTCCTAAAAATATAAAAGTAAAAAGATTAAATCATTTCATCTACATTTACTTTTAATCTTCTTTCTTGTCTTCTTTTTCTGATCTTTCTTCTTCCTTTTTTTCGTGGACCAAAGGTTGTATACATTAGAACCAACACACAAACATTAAAATCAAACCAAGCATTGAATCATCAATTATCATTTAGTCATGATGTTGTCTTTAATGACAAAATATTTATTCAAGACTAATTGGTTATCGTTTATGAATGTTTATTATGAATAATTATTAATGAAAGGTTGATTATTGTGGTAATATTATTTATTGAACGACATACAAGTATATTTGATAATGATAATTATGAATTTAATATATAAGGTATTATCAAGAAAAAAGTGATTGCTGAAATTGAAAGAAATGAAACATAGTCATCGTGTTATTTATATATTCAACATAAAATAATAATATAAAGAATGAGGAATTTAACTATTCAATAAAATCACAATAAAAATCAAATAATAACTTAAACGAAGAATAACTAAGTAGAAATAATTGAAAAGAATTTAGTTCAACAGAAATAACGTTAGTTGAAGAAACTGAATCACTCACTTCTTAGAATGAAGAAACACTAAATATTACGTAAGTCATAGGTAATGTGTTTTTTTTAATGCCTTGTTGATAATATCATAAACCATTTCTAATCAATAAGTATTTAAGAAGTTTAAAAGGGTTTTTATTAACAAGATCATTTTATTTAAAGAAATGTCTGATTCATGGATAACCAACTTTCAAGAAGTAATACTTTATTTTCCTTCATTAAATAAAATTAAAGAATTAATGCTAATTTCTCGTCGTGCACAAGTTGCTGTTTTAACGATGACTAACTGTCCATACAATATTATGTCATACAACACACCAATTGAAGTTAGTAGATTTTTTACAAGACTAAAAGTTTTAAACTTTCCAACAAATTATAGTACATTGCAAGCCAAAACCCTTCCAACAACTCTACCACTTATTTTCAGAAATATTGACTCACGATTTTTTCAACAATTTTTATTCAGTCGATTTGGTCAACATATTTTAAGAGTTAGTTTACAGAAAACCTTTATTACTAAATTACCAAAATATATTCATGTATTAGTCAACATTAAAACACTTGTACTATTGGAATCTTATCATCCTGAAGTGATTTTAATTATGGAAAAAACAACAGCCCAAAAATGTATTTTATATTGTGGAATAGCTGAACTTAAATCTATTGTTTCTCGATTTAATTTTAAAAAGAATTCTATTTCAAAATTCATATTTATTGTAGAGAAATGTGTTTATACAGAAGAACTTACTAATATATGTAAAGATATACCTCCTAAACATCAAGTATATGTTAATTTTTTATCTTATTCAACAAAGCAATTTTCATTTATTCCAAGATTAAGACAACCATTTATAACTTCTATTCTTACTGATTTTATTGATAAAGATGAAATGCTTATTAAAAAAACAATTAATAAAGCACAAATTCAATCAATAAAAATTATTGATACAATTAAAGAAATAGATTATTGTAGTCAAAAACCATTTAATATTAATTTTGATTCAATTATATCTGTTTATATCGCTTGTAAACAATCATCACCATTTATTATTGGAAAGAGTGTAAAAGACTTAATGGTTGAAGAATTTCATGGACCTTTATTATGTGATGAAGCACAATTACAAGATATCAACATAAAAAAATATTTTAATGGTTTACTATTTATTGATGACACTAAATTAAAACATATTTCAATTTCCGAATTACTTTTTGTAACTTGGAAACATTGTAATGAATTGATGAAAAATATAATATTTATCTCAAATTTATTACTTAATTCAAATCAAATGAATGACATTGGTACACCATCAAAGAATATTAAAGTAATATTTGAATGTGATAATTCTCTTATTCTTCCATGTTTTGATCATATTTTCTTTGGAAATAAAACATTATCCATTTCATTTACTCATTTTAATGCTTTGTATTTTAATACATTTCCAATTGATTCATTAACTGCATCATATTGGATTGGAGAATATGTTGATTTTTCTTGTATGAAAAGAGTATCATTAAAAAGTTGTACAATAAAACAATTACTCTTTCAAAAGAATATTTTTGAATCAATTGAATTAACACAATGTAGTATTGAAACTATTATTATAAACTCTGCTAATTTAATTAATTTAGAAAAATCAATATTTCAAAATATTATTATTGAATTTGTATCACATTGTACAATGACAGAAGTTAAAAGTGTATTATGTCAATTAAAAGAATGTTCATCCTTTATTAAGAAAGATTGTTTATTTAAAAAAATAGAATGTAATTTGAATTATTCTAATTAAATCCCTTCATTTATAATTCCATTATGTTTACTTCTTAATGCATTCAGCATACCCTGACTCTCTCATATTTTCCATTGAACAAAGTCTTTGTTTTCTACAATTTCCTTCACAAGAATTTGGTAGTTCAGTTGAAAAATGTTTCATGAATTTACTCCATGCAACATTATCATTCTTTAACATATAATGTAATCTACCAATTTCAGAATTACCAAGATTAACTAATCCATATTCTTCTTGAGTATTATAACTCTTGACCCAAGTATATTTATGTTCTGCATTACATTGATCAAGATCAAGATAGTATGTTGTATAATCAATAATATGTTTATCATTGAATTTATATAATCTTAAAGAAGGATTTGATCCTTTTGGAGTCATTGCTGGATTAATAATTACGCTATAAAATGGATCTTCACCAGGATATAAACGATATCCTTCAATATGGTTATGACCAGCTAAGTGACCAATAATAACATCAGAATATTCTTTATATAATTCTAAGAAATCCCGAGTGAAATATGGATTAACATCCATCATTCCTGTAATTTTAAGTCCAATAGATTCATGAGAAATAATAATTGCTTTTTGACCTTTCTCTCTCAATACTTTTAATGTAGCATTAAACCACATCATCATTTCTCCAGGATCTGTTTTTGGATATTCTCCAGAGTGTGAATTCATAATATCAAAATAAGCAGTCTGTAATGAAATAATATTTATTCCACTTGGTAATTGGTGAATATAATATCCTCCTTTTTTTGTAGTAGCAATTTCTTCAGGAGATAACCAATCTTTCCACCATAAACTCATATTATTTAACATCCATTGACTTTTTGGTGGAAATGCCCAAAAAGAAGTTTCAAAATAGTCATGATTACCAATTGATGGTAATACCGTAAATCCAGGGAGTCTTCGTTTAAGTTCATTATGGAACATTTCTAAATCATTAAGATTCCTTTTTTTAGTCATTTGGAACATATCAGATGGAATAACGTCCATTAACCAAATAACATTTTTAGATATATTTTCATGAGACTTAATGAAATCCATTCCAGACATAATTGTTTCTAAAGGAGCATGACACGAATGATGTCCACAAAATTGTGCAGTTTCAAAATTATTTCCTTTAGGTACTGAGTCTTCATGACAACACTACATTTAAATTAATAGATATTATTTTATTTATTATATGTTTCAAACAAACGTCAATACTTTTACAATGAGCATATCCTCCTTCAGCAAATTTAGAATCAAAGTGTGTATCAGAAATAACCCAAATATAATCTTCTATTGAAAGACACTGTACTATAAAAATGAAAACAAAAATTTTCATTTAAATTGATATTTTCAAGTTCTTTTTTATTTAATTTTTTTTATTATTACAAAAATAGTAAACTATTGGTATATATTACAATTTTTTTTTTGAATAATAAATAAATGAGATTCATTTCACTTTATACAATAATTGTAAGCGATCAAGTACTTGCTCTATGACTAAACGGTCTTTAGGATTTTGTTTCCAACAGTCACAAATAAGTTTGTATACTGAGTCTGGTATTTCATTAACTTGTTGTAGTCTTTTACCAGAAATAACAAATTCAGCAATGTTCCATATATATACAAATTTTTCTTTGTCATAAGCATCACCCCACTTAAAACATTCATACATTGTAATTGCAAATGAATAAATGTCAGCTTCTTTTTTATAATATTCTTTAGTTAATAATTCTGGTGCCATATAAACAGGTGTTCCTATTCCTTTTGTGAATGTCATATTTGTCATTAGTGTATTTATATTTCTTGAACTTCCAAAGTCTGTTAATTTACAATTAATTTGAACATCTTCAGATAGAAACAAAACAAGAATATTATCTGGTTTAATGTCTCTATGTAATATTCCATTTACGTGAAGATATTGAATTCCATTAGCAGCATCTATCATAAATTTAATTCGTAATTTAATAGGAATAGTTTCCTTTTTTAGACTAAACAAAGTTCTAATACTTCCATGTTCTGCATATTCAGTAATTAAATACCTTTTATTTTTAAATAAAACTGATCCATAGAAATAAATAATATAATCACTTCGAAATTTATCTAACATTGAAACTTCTTTCTCAAATTCTTCTTTAATTTTTATATTATATGACCTATCTTTCATGTCTTTAATAGCAACTATATGTTCCCTAAATCTTCCTTTAAAAACAATTCCACTAGTCCCTTCTCCAATTTTATTGTCAAAGATAATTTCGTCTATATCTAATTTTGTTGTAATTTCTGTTTCTCCTTTAAATTTAAGATATCCTACTTCTTCTTTACCACTATTAATTGATTGACAAACAATAGTTATTTTATTATTTAATTTAGAACTACATAATGGAGTAACTGTTAGTTTAAATTTACATGCCTCACCTTTTTTCAATAAGATGATAGCAGGATCTATTTTAATCAAAAACTTTCCATTCTTTTTATTTAATACAATCTGAATCTTAATTAAAGATGAACTAAAATTTCCTAGGTAGAAATATGATACACATGGTTGTTGTACTTTAATTACAATATCATGACCTTCTAACAAAAGAATATCACAGTTACATTGAATCCATTTATTAATTCTATACTTAAAATTTATTGAACTCTCTTTTATTTTAAATATAGTACAATGAAGATGTTGATGATGTTGAACAAGAAAATGTTGATATCTATTAATAATACAATAAAAAAATATTAATGTAACCACAAAGATACAAAAGATGAATATGATCATTAACATAACCAACCACCATACTATATAAGATGAACAATAAGTTCCATCATCACTAGGACGATACCAAAAAGAACATTTTTGACATTTTGATTGAAGAATAATTTTACAATGATCAATTCCTTCTAATGAAATACATCTTGATCTGCTAAATACCAACTCTTCATTACAAGAAGTACACTCATTATATTCATTACATGTACGACATGTTCCATTACATTGTTCACATGTATTAACATCATGAAAAAATCCATCTTTACATTGTGTACAACCAAATTGAGTAATTTCTACTGCACATCCTTGTAATGTATTTTTTGATAAACAACTTCCATTATAATGTTGATAATAATCATCAGCACATGTTAAACATTGTTCATAAAAACATGTTTTACATTCAATAGGACATTTGATACAATCAAATTCATTTAAAAAATAACCATCTTTACATAATGAACATCCACCAATAGGAGTAAAAATATTACATTTTCCAATTAATTCATTATTGGACCTACATTTACGATTTGATAAAAATGAAGTAGAATTACATGTTAAACAATAATTTTCTGATGAACACGTTTGACATTTTTCACAAATATGACAAGTATTTTGTTTTGTTAGATAATATGTATCTTTACATCTTCTACATGGCATTCCTTGATAATATTGTTGGCAATGTTCATCTCTAAGTGCACATGAAATTCCATCAAAATACATTAAATCCTCACATTTAATACATTCATTTCCATTATATAAAATACAATTATTAATTGGTTCAACACAATGATGATTAATATCAAGTATTTTATTTCCATTACATCCTTGACATATACCATTTTGTATTACATTACAATTTTGTTCTAATACACATTTTCCATCACTAATAAAATATCCATTTTCACATCTCTTACATCTTTCTTTCTCACATAAAATACAATGAGAGTCAAAAGATAAACAAGAAATACATTTATTAAATGATAAATAATAACCATCTTTACATTCAAATTTATTTTTTTTATTTGAATCAAAAACACATTCTTCTTGATTAATATAAGAATGAAATAAACATTCTAAACATTTTGTATTTGTACAAAATTCACAGTTATTGTCATTACATTCTTGACATTTAAATGATGTATTTAAATACCCAAAAGAACATTGAACACATCTATTAACAATAGCAACTAAACAGTCTGATTCTATTAAACAATTCCCTTCATGAAGAATATACCCAGGATCACATAATATACAAACTCTTTCATTCGTTTTTACATTAAAAAGATCCCATATACAATTAGAATAAATGCTTTGAACTAAATCAAGTCCTGAAGGAATGACGCCTTCCTCAATACATGTTTTATTCATTAATTTATATTTTTCAAAGCAAATAAGACAATAACAAATTTCATTGATACATTCAATGACATGACAATTATTTATTGATTGATTTTGATTAATAATCATAGCAGTATTTGTAATAAGAACATATCTTCCAGATATCGATTTAATTGAAGAATTAATTGATTGGATTAAAATTATAACTTCTTTTAATGACTCAATTGTTAAATTAATATTATTTAAAGAAAGAATTGATTCAACAACTGCATTATCAGAAATAGTCAGTGTTGCTTGTCCTCTCTTAAAAAAATTATCAATACTTATTGTGTTAATGAGTGAAGTATAATTGTAAGTAAATTTAACATTTAAAAAATTTGAAGAATATAAATCAGATAATTGCAATTTATTGCCAAACTGAATAAAATTACATTCTTTAATTATTTGAATTTTAATAGAACATTTAATACAATAGAAATATAATTCTTTAATTTTTATTAATGAAAGAATAATTAAAGAATGTGATGAATAAATATTTGTATTTGGTAAATTTATAAATTGAAAATTAGCATAATCAACGTCTATTATCAATGAACATTCTTTATTTAATTCTTCACATGGACAATGAGGAAAAGTAAATGGATATGAATAATCTGATAAAGATAATGATGATTTATATATTGTTCCATTCATATGACATTTAACTGAATAATCAAATGAAATTGAAGAAGAACAATATCTAATAAGACGTTGATTACTAACTAATTGAAGAGTATTTCCAAGAATTGGAAAATCGGTTGATTTGTAATCATTTGAACTTGAATCATTATTTAATACAGATGAATCCATTAATGAAAATATATCAATACATCCATTAAATGAAGTTGGAATAATAATATTAAACATTTTTTTATCTAGTTGTAAATTATTACATCTCCATCCTTCGAATAATGGAATATTATCATTATTTGGATAAATAACCATTGAACCAAGTAAATGCCACTGTCCATTCGCAATAATTTTTGCTCCTTTATTAATTGTTATTGTACCTTTAATTTGTATATTTCCATTCACTGTTAATAAAACATTTGAATTAAGTTGAAGTGATGTAAAAGTCATAAAATATTGTGATGTTATTGTTACACTTGAATAAACAAATAAGTTACCAAATGAAAGAATGTCATTCCCTTGAAACTTTGTTTCCCAATCACCATATAATATATAATCACACCCATCTCCACTATAACTACATTCCTTATCTAATTTTTGTGTATTAGAATAAATAACACACTGACATCCATTCGTTAGACATATAAAAAAAAATATATTTATAAGTGGCGTCACACTTGTGATCACCATGATTAAGATTTTATTTTTGTGTTTTTTATTATTCTTTTCTTTTACAAACCTATATCGTTCTTTAATTTTTTGTACTTTTATTTCTTGAAAATTTCTCATTTTATATAAATAAATTTTTATTATAAAACATTTTTTGATTTACTTTTGTTTTATGACTAAAGTATCTTTTTGAGAAGTTACAACAACTACTTCCTCTAAAATACAAACATAACTCTTAACAACAAATTGTCATTGACTTTGAAACAAAAGAGTAATTTCTTTTTATAACTTAGTTTTAAAGATGAAATTAAGTAATTAAAAAGAACAAAAAGACTGATATATTAATAGTATATTTTGTTTGTATGAAACTAAACATAATCATTAAATTGAATAAAGATCAATTTTATGTATTATTCGAAAAACCCTGTTCAAAAATTTTAATTGTATATCCGAACTTAGATTCAATCTTATCACTATGTCAGCTGTTCATCTTACTCAATCTTATATTAAGTCATCTCAAAACACTGAAATACAATTTAATGTTTTTGCACAAAAATACCAACATATTCGTAGTCTTGGAGATAAGCCATTATTTAAATTCATTAAGGCTGATGGAAATGAACCTGCTGTAGAATACAATTTATTCCAATTTCAAGATAAAGTAGATATAATCTCATCTGCACTCTATACAACACTTCATTTAAAAAGAAAAGATGTTATTGCTATATACTTGCCCAATTGTGTCCCCTTCATTATTATGGAAGCAGTAATAGAATCTTCTGGATTTATTATGATGCCATTCAATCCAACATATACTTCTGATCAATTATCTCGTTTATTCTCTCGAGTAACACCAAAGTTAGTTGTTACTATAAAACGGTTCCTTCCAAACATTCGTAGTTTTAATAAAGAAGTCAAAGCACTATTAGTTGATGCTTCACTAGAAGAAATAAATTTTATGAATGACTCTTATCTTTATTCATTGTCTTCTCTATTACAAGTACCAATTAATAAAGAGCTTCTTCAAAATGAAAGAAATCAAATTCAACCAGAAGATGAATTATTCTATGGTTGTACTTCTGGTTCAACAGGAATTCCAAAAATATGTGTTTATACAAATAGAGAATTTACAGGAAATATTGTTTCAATTAGTTCTCAAGTTCCACCAGATGAACGAAAAACATTAGCCTTTATTCCTTTTTTTACTACTACAGGGCACATTGTATTATCAACACTTATATTAAAAGGATATTACCATGTTTGTATGGATAAGTTTAATACTGAAAAGGTTTATGAAATTGTTCAAGAAAATAAAATTACTAATATTTCTGGTGCACCTTCTGCTTTTATGGCAATACTAAAACACCCAAATAGATCTCATTATGATCTTTCTTCATTGAAAGAAGTAATTATGGGAGGTGCTGTAGCGTCAGATTCTTTTATTGAGTCTTGTAGACAAATCCTTCATTTAGAATTTTGTTGTAGTGGATTTGGAATGACTGAACTTTGTGGGTTAATGTATAAAATGCCATCTAAAGCAACTCATATTCCTGCTGGTCCAGTTGCTCATTATGAAGTTAGAGTAGTTGACCATGAAACTAGAGAAATTTTACCTATTGGACTTGCTGGAGAATTAGAAGTACGTTCTCCTATAATGATGAAAGAGTACTTGAATAATCCTGAAGCCAATAAACAAGCATTCACTGAAGATAGATGGTTTAAGACTGGAGATGAAGCAGTTTTAGAAGAAGATGGATTTATGAGAATTACTGGAAGAGTTAAAGAAATGATTATTAGAGGAGGTCATAATATTTGGCCAGCTGAGATTAATGACACTTTAATTAAACATCCAAAAATTCAAGAAGCTGCAGTTATTGGAATTCCAGATAAAATTCAAGGTGAGACTGTTGTAGCTTTTGTTGTTATTAAAAAAGGTTGTTCATTTGATAATCTTGAAAAAGAGTTGAAAGAGTTTTTGAAAGAAAAACTTGTTCCATTTTCTATTCCAACTTATATATTTGCTATTGAAGACATGCCTAGAACATCTTTTGGAAAAGTGTATGCTCCAAAATTAAAAGAAATTGTTAAAGATTGTATTAAAAAGAGATGGGAAACTCTTATTCAAGAAAATCATAATCCAGTGATAACTCAAGAAGGAAAAGAAATTGCTCAGTTATGGGCAGATATGTTTGATATTCCAATCAATGCATTATCAAGAGATTCTAATTTCTATAATTGTGGAGGAGATTCTTTTGTTGGGTCTCAAACAGTTACTATTATTAGAAAGTATGTTAAAGATGCACCATTTAATTTGTTAATATGTAAACAAACCCTTGGTGAAATTGAAGATTATATTGCTCATCCAAATGAAAATGTTATTGACACTGGTAAAGTTCTTAAAGAAGACATTGAAAAATTAAATCAAATGAGTGAAGAAGAATTATTTGGAGTAGAGCATTATAATGAAGAAAATGAAAATAGAGATGCTATTGTGATTACTGGTGCATGTGGATATCTTGGAGTTTATATCGTTGATGCTGTAGCTAAGAATAAAAACATTAAAAAAATTTATTGTATTGGAAGGAGTGTTGATTTATCAGAATTAAATAAGAAAATGATATCAATGATGAGAAATGTCGGATTACAAAAGAGTGAAATGATTGAAATGATTGTTGGAGATGTTTCTAAAGACCATTTTGGTATCGAAAATACAAAATATAATGAAATGAGAGAAAGAAGTAAAGTCATTATTCATTGTGCAGCTATTGTTAATTGGAATAAATCATACTCACAACTAAAAGAAACAAATGTTAATGGTGTAATCAATGCAATTAAATTTGCAGGTAAATCTATTATATGTAGTTATATTTCTACTATCGGAGCTGCATTAAATCAAAATGAAACAATTTCAGAACAACTTCCTGTTTCTTCATTTGGTTATATTCAATCCAAGTGGATGGGTGAAAAGATAATAGAAAAAGCAATGAACTTAGGTTATCGTGTTAATATAATGAGACCTTCATTTATTGTTGCAGATTCAACAAAAGGTATTTGTAATACTGACGATTTCATTTATAAATTTATCCGTGTTTGTGTTATGAACAATATTGGATTATCAGGACCAGCTTTAGATCTTACTCCAGTAGACAAGGTAGCAGAGGTTATAGCAAAGAATTGTATGGTTGTTGGTAAAATTATCAACTTACTTCCTCAACAACAAGTCCACACAGAAAAAATCTTTTCTATTTATAATTCTCTCTATCATTCAATCCCAATTTTCAATTATAATGAATGGATAAATAAATTTACTGAACTTGCTCATTCTGAATGTGTAGATGCAATCAATTTAATACCTTCATTGTATGTATTAAAAATACAAGCCAAGCTTCAATCTAATTATTTGAAAGAAACAAACCAACAAATGGTTCTCAACTTTAATGATGAAATGATATCTTTGAACTTAAATAAGTTAAGTAAAATAGGGTTCTTTACTCCATCTTGTAAGGGGCTTATTTCTCGCTCAAAGTAATTAATTCATTTATTAATTTTTTTAAACTTAATTTCAATAAAAAGTATTATAAGTTGTTGATATTAAAACTTATTTTTTAATCATCTTAAACAGTTTATTATTTCATCAAAGGTTAGAATTGAAACAATTAACAATAAACATTTCCTATTGTAGTTATTGATTTATATTATGAAAAGTAATTATTCTTTTTTTTATAAAAGAAATATACTTTATAAACCATGTTAAATTTAAAAACGTAAAAAAAAAAGAATTGTTCATTTAATAAGACATTATGTGTTATAATGATAATTATTAATAATTAATAAGACATTAAATTAGTTATTTATATCAATATCCCCAATGATTCTTTTTGTTTCTTCAATATCATCAGTTATTTTTCTTAATAATTTTTTCTTTTCAATTAGTTCTTCTTTTTCTTTATCATTTAATTCGTGTTTATGTTGAGAAATATAATGTTCAAACAAATTTTTTAACTTAGTGCATTCATGAATTCGATGTTGTATTTTTTCTAATTCTTTAATTTCTTTTTTTACAATATCCAAATAATTATCTGAGAAACAATTATTGTTTAATGAAATTTCTTTTTCTAATTTAAAAATTTGATGATTATCTGATTTATTAGAACATTCAATTGCTCTTAAATAGTTTCTAATAACCCAATTGTATTTATACTGACCAATTCTTTCATCTTTTTGTACTTTACTAGAATTCTGGAAAGGAAATACATAATCATCATTATCACTTATAACAATGTCATAGGGTTGATAACAATAGAACCATCGTTCTAGTCCAATAGAAAGATAATTTGAATATATTATTTCATCTTTAATAACTCCAATACAATTTTGATTAATTTTAACTTCAGTAATAATTGACTTATTTTTATTTTCAACAATAAGTTCTCCACCGTTTGTTAATTGATCAACTTCTGGATATAAAACATTATCAATTTCAATACTTTCTTTCTCAATAAAACGTTCAATAGATAAATATAAAAAATTTTCTTCTATCTCATTTAATAGTCTCAATTTTGTTCCTACTTGTACTGCTACTAAAGCAGCTCCTTTTGCAACAACACATTCTTTATTCATTGTATTTTTTACATTTAAATGAAGTTTATTTTCAATAATGGTTTTAATACAACCTAATCTAGAACCACCTCCAACAAATTCTATATCAGTTAAATGTAAATTAATACGTTTTTGAGTTGTTTCAATAATCCTTTGTACTAATAAACAAATAGCTTCATTATATTCTTCAAACCAACTTTCAAATTCAGTCTTAGTAACGTTTTCAATAAATTCATTATTGTTATTTAATTCAATTTTTAATGTTGATTCAAGTACATTTTGACTTGAAAAAGAGAATTTAAATTTATTGATATCTTCATCAATCTTATTATAAAATTTTAATTTCTTTTCTTCATCTAAAGATTGTATAAATTCTTTTAACTCTTCTTTTTCACTCATTAATTCAATACATTTATTTTTAATTATATAACTATAATCTCTTCCCCCAATATTTATACTTTCATTTGATATAATTTCTAATGAATTTGAATGAAACCTAAATACTGAACAAGTTGTTTCAGAGTCTCCAACATTAAGAACCATTTGTGTAGTTTCTTTATTATTTATTGTATTAAATGATGTTATGTCATATGTCCAATAATAAAGTCCAACACAAATACAATCTTCAACACATTGTAAACATGGTATTTTAGCTAATTCGCATGCATATTCAATACTTCTTCTATCTTGAAATGAATAATTAGATGATATTGATACAACACAATAATCTGATTGTGTTATTTCTTTTATCATTTTAAACATTTCAACAAGCATACTTTCAATATGAATATTACCAATATCACCACATTGTAAAATTCCATTTTCATCACATTGAACATTTGAAAATTTATTTTCTTGACTCTTTAATTCACTATTATCAACTTGAATTAATTTTTTTAATCCAATAATACAATTTTTTGGTCTTCTTTTAATTTGACTTTCATTTCTATCAACACCACATCGAATTTCTTTTTTAATACATGAGATACAATTCGAAATTGAATGTTTTCCTATTGGTGAATCAATTATATCAACACCTCCATTATAATATTTTCCAATAACTATATTTTCATTTCCAAAATCAATACCTATAATAGTGTATCTTTGTTTTCCTTTTTGTTGACTTGTACGCATCCCTTAAAGTAATTTCTTTTTTTTTAGTTCATTTTATATTTCTTATTTACTTTCATTAAAAAACAACAAAAATTCAATTCATTCTGTCGATATTAAATGCTCCACTGGAACACAAGATAAATCTAAACTTGCTTTACAACAAATAAACTGTCCTGTTGCCATCTCTTTTGCAATTGGATAATCAACAATACTGTTTGGCTCTGCAAAATCAAATCTTGCTGAAACACTGCTTGAGTTAAACCGTTGAAAAGCTTCACTACATTTTTGAGGAGAATCATATTTAATAAATCCCTCACTAAATAATAAGTATCATTTACTTCTTTTAATATTCACTATTATAATACAAACGATGGAGATAACATTTCAATTGCTTGTACTTGTATTTTAATTGAATTAAATTCAGAAATAACAGTTCCAATATCACTCCAATTGGATAAACCATAAAAGAATAATGTGTCAGTCTGTGGTTGATTCATGAAATACTATTTTCTTAGTATTTTTATATAAAATAAAATAATAATAAAATTTATAATTTAAATATAGTTTAAAATATAAAAGAAATTGATAAGTCATAATTGATCTTATTAAATTAATATGAACAATCCTCAAAATGAAGGAAAGATTTTAACAAAAAAACAAAAAAAGAATAAACGTAGAAATGGAAAACAAATATCTCCACTAAAAGAAGAAAGAATGAATTACTTATTTTCTATTTCTTCATTAATGACACAATTTCACCCTGTTACTGGACAACACTGTGGATTGTCCATTCGAAATTTAGCTCATAAATATGTTTCAAGAATATCTAAAACATGGAAACGAAAGTATTGTACAAAATGTTGGATGCCATTAACTTATTCATCATTTAAAACACAGTGTTTGTTTTTTTTATGTTTTATTTAAATTGGATGACTAAGCACATAGTAATAAATGGTAAATATTTTATTGTAACACATTGTTGTTGGTGTCATCATAGAAGATTATTCTATTTACCAGAAGATCCTAATGAGTAATCAATTGTGAGTGATTTGTATCTTTTTTTAAGAGTTATTTTTCATAAAATAGAAGAAAAGTTGAGATTGAGTTAAAATTAACAATCATCAGTTTATTTTTAATTATAAACCATAAACGTTAATGAAAGGAAAAATAGAACTAATAATAATATTACCAAAAACTAAAAATAGTATTTTAAGAGAAGTTTCAATTATTTAAAGTAAAAAAGAATTACCAGATGTAAAAGGAGACCAAACGAGATGGAACCCACTAAAGAAAAAAAAGACAAAGATGAAGAGAAACAAAGAAAAAAAGAAGAAAAAGAAAAGAAAAAACTTGAAAAAGAGCAAGAGAAATTAAAAAAGAAAGAAGAAAAAGAAAAGAAAAAGAAAAAAGAAAGTCAAACAAAAGAAGAGAAATATGCACCTAAAAAAGATAGATCAAAACGAAGAACATTATTTTTCTTTAAGAAAAAAGACAAAAAAGAATTACCAAAAAGTTTAACACCAGAATTACCTAAAATTAATAAAGAAATACAATCTAATGGTTTATATCAACCAGTTGAACAAACAATAATACCAAAAGAATTAACAAAACAACGTACTGATTTACAAACCGATGCTTCTAGGAATAGTACTTCTGATGAAATTCATTTATTACCAAAACATGTTTTAGAAAATGTTTTAATGGTATCTACTCAAATTGAAAAAAAATTTAATTTTTCTGAATACCAAGAAGAGATTGATTCATTTAGAATGTTAAACCTTAATCAAATAGCATATGTTGGACGTGATTTATATTTATCTTCTTTAATCGATGTACTTCATTTATTACCTTTAATTTATGATAAAGAATATGCTCGACAATTATTGTTTTATTCTCACGAATTTGACCCAGAAGAAATACTAACTGATTTAGTCTCTTGTTTTGCTAATTCATTTGATTCAACAAAACCACAACGTGAAAAATATTGTACAAATTGTGTTAAAATTATTTCTTCTTGGTTAACAACAAGAGGAGATACTTTTACTAATGAAAAATTATTACTTCTTGTAAGAGATTTTGTTGAAGTTTTAAAACAACTTGTTACTACAAATGGATTCTTACAATCTGCTGTTGATGAAGTAGATAGTAATTTAGAAAAAGTATTTGTTTCTAAAGGAGTTGTTTCTATTCAAAAACGAGTGTTAAATCAAGTAAAAGTAGTTGGTCAAGAAGGGGATATAACATTCCCAGAAATTACAATTTTAGATGAACAATGTCTAGATTTAATTCCTGAACAACTTGCCATTATAGAATTTATGTTTTTATCAAGAATTAATCCATATGATTATTATTGTTATTTAGATAAACAAACAAGAGAGTCATCAACAGTAAAAAGTTATATTTATTGGCATAATTTAATATCTCAATGGGTTGCTTATGAAATATGTAGACATGAAGATATTGACAAAAGATATGAATGTATTACAATGTTTTTCCAATTATTAATAAAACTTATTCAAAAGAAAAACTTCAATTCATTTGTAAGTGTAATGAATGGATTAAAACACCAAACAGTCAAAAGGTTAATGCATACTTGGAATAAATTAACTAAAAATGATTGGACTGTTTATCAAGACTTAGAAAGTGTTCAACAAAGTATTAGGACTAACAATTCATCTATCACTTTACAACCTCCTTGTGTTCCTGATTTTATGCAACAAATTGAAAGAATGCAAAAGATGTATGATAAAAAGAAAAGAGAAAAAATTATTTCTTCAACTAATTTAAATGAAAATAATGAACCAGAATATATGATTGATCTTTCAAAATATGCTAGAATAGGTGCAGTGATCGATGTATTAGGAACATATTCAGTTGGTTCAAATTATAAAGAAAATAAACAAATGCATGAATTCTTCAAATCAACTTTGCAAAAATTACCATTAGACGATTTCAGTCTTTTAGACCTTTCCTTAAAAGTTGAACCTCCTCAATAATAATTGTTTTCTCAGATTGTTTCGCTAACTCATATAATTCATAGTAAAATAATGGTAAAATTTTAATTCAATGTAGTTCTTTATTTTTTATTCTACAAATTATTTATAAGATGTTTAAAATAATTCTTTCATTTCATAAACTTTTTTTTCTCTTTACTTATCATTTTTTCTATCTCTAATTTAAGAATCTTAAAAACAAAATCTTCGGTAAAATAGAGAAGATGCAAGAAAATAAATTAATTACTTATCAATATAAAGAAAAATAGTCTCTCTATGACTCTAATAATTGAACATTCTTATTATTTCCTTTTTCTATCTCATCTATGAAAATATAATTTTATTATTTTTTTATAACCAAGATTATTCTTTTATATTCAAAATATTTTGAATGAAGACAATCATTTATTTTTAGTACCACCAAATAAACTTGAATAACATTGATTTATCTATCATTATGTAATGAAATTAAATTTACAATTAAATAACATTTATGAAATAAAAAACTTCTTGTTATAATATAAAGAAGAAATTATTTAACAAAAAAATAA